TGATGGCCTGGGAACTTTCATAGGTGTTCTTAAAGTGAACATGAAGATTGGAACCACTTGATTTATGTGATTTTGTAGTGTTCTCTGGGTCAGGAGAGTAACACACTGTATTAGTTACTTTTCTGTTGCAGTGATAGAAACACTGACTAAAACAACTGATAAAAGGAAGAGTGTTTTGAGCTCATGGGGAATTGCAGGGGAATTATAGTCCCTCATGGCAAGAAGGCATGGTGGCAGGAGGTACCTGAACAGGAGCAGAAAGCAAAGTGCTCACATCTTCAAGCAGGCACAGGAAGCAAGAGAGGGACTCAAGATCCAGTAAGGCTTAAGAACTCTTTAAGCCTGCCCCCAGTGACTCACTTCCTCTAGCAACCATACTTTTTAAAAAATATTTTATTATTTTTATTTTATGTGTATGCATGTATTGTCTTCATGTAGGTAAGTGCAACCGTGTCATGCAATGCCCATGGAGGTCAGAAGAGGCTGTGGGATCTCCTGGGACTGGAGATAGGACAGTTGTTAGCTGCCATGTGGGAGCTGGGATTCAAACCTGGATCTTCTGCAAGAACAACAAGTGTTGTTAACCACTGAGTCATCTCGCCAGCCCCAACAAAAAAAAAAATTAAAGTACAATATTGGGTATATAGTAGGGTCATAAATGTGCTGAATGGATCTATAAAGTGGTATGTTATCTTCAAAATGAGACCTTTGGAAATTAGGCATAGTGGTGCACACCTTTAATCCCAGCACTCTGGAGGCAGAGGCAGATGGATTTCTGTGCAATTGAGGCCATCCTGGTATTCTTAGCGAGTTCCAGGTCAGCTTGGGCTACAGGGAGACCCTATCTCAAAAAGACCCCCAAAAAAATAATAATAAAATATTTTTTAAAATGTGGGGCTGGAGAGATGGCTCAGTGGTTAAGAACACTGACTTCTTGCAGAAGACCCGGGTTCAAATCCCAGCACCCACATGGCCACTAACAACTGTCTGTAACTCCAGTTCCGGGGGATCCAACAGCCTCTTCTGTCCTCCGTGGGCATTGCATAACACAGGTGCACTTACTTACGTGCAGACATGACACTCATACACATATAATAAAAATAATGAAATATTTTTTTAAAATGTCACTGAAAGCAAGCCTAATTTTCCCCTTTAACCCCCTTTTTTTTTTTTTTAACTATCAGAAATATTTCCTTTATCTGGTTAGCTGAGCATTGTGTTTTATGGTCATGTTTCTAAATGGCTCTTCCAAAAAAACCAAAACCCAGCGATTTTTGTTTGTTTGGGGGGCTTTTTGGTTTCATTTAGTCAAAGCCCAGTTTTGGTGTAGAACAGTAGTGTGTGCCTGATTTTTACCATGCTTACTTCAGCATAACAAACTTTTCCTCTAAGCTTCGAGTGTCAAGATGATCTTTTTTTTCTTTTTTTTAAATTGAAGGGTTGGGGAAATGGCTCAGTGGTTAAAAGCACTGGCTACTCTATTTTTTTTAAATTTTATTTATTATTTTTATTTTATGTGTATGTGTGTATTGCCTGCATGTAGGTAAGTGCACCCGTGTCGTACAATGCCTGCAGAGGACAGAAGAGGCTGGCTACTCTTGCAGAGGATCCAGGTTCGGTTTTTAGCATGGACATGGTGGTTAACAACTGTCTATAATTGGAGTTCCAGGGGATCTGTTGCCTTTTCTGTCCTCCTCTGGCATTGCGTGAACATGGTGCACTTATATGCAGGCCAAACACTCATACACATAAAATAAAAACAAGTAAATCAAAAATAACTTTTAGCTGGGCATGGTGGTGCACATCTTTAGTGCCAGCACTCAGGAGGCAGAGGCAGGTGGATCTCTGTGAGATCCAGGTCAGTCTAGTCTACATGATGCGTTCCAGGCCAGCTGAGGCTACATAAAGATCCTGTCTCAATAAGACCAAAAGCAAAAAAAAAAAAAAAATT